TCTTTCCCTCCCTCCTGGTGGGTCCAGAGTGGTTTGGGGGAGGCAAAGCTGAAGCCCCAGCCCCATGAGACATCAAGGCTCTCATGTCCACACAGGTACTCTCAGTGCCAGCACGGCACAGCTTTGCATAATGTTACCTCCCTTCCTTGTCCACCCAGCACAGTTTGGCCATCGCCATGCAAGAACAAGACAGCCATTTCTCTGTGCTGCTGGTTTCTAGCCCCTACCTTTGCTTGCCATTGATGGACAATGACACGGAGGGAACAGTTTGCTTCTGTTATTTATGGTGTTCATCTGGGGGCTGAAAGGAGCCCAGTGTGTGCAGACAAAGCCCAACCACCAACCTAGGAGAGACACATCTCGCCAGCCCAACATGCATGGATTTGCAGCACGGAGCAGACGCCCAAGGCTGAGACTGGATCCCGCACTGGTCCCTGCGTTCACAGGAGCTTTGCTAAAAGTCAGGTTCTCCTCTTCTTGCCCTCTTGCCAGGAAAGCAGCTAGAAAGATACTCCTTTTTGGCTGCTATGTCAAGAGGAGATTTACCATGTGTCTCTTCATCTGTCTCCCCTCAAGATGAGCTGGGTGCGACGCTTGGTTTCCAGCAGAACCATGGTGCAGCGCTGAGCAGCCACGTCCTGCTCTTGGTGGCTTCAAGTGGCACAGCCTCGTGCCAGGACTGCTGGCACCTCTGCCATGGCTTTGCCACCATCTGCTGCCAGCTCCTACACAGGGAGCAATGTGTGAGGACACGCCGTCATGGAGGGGAGCTGGGATGGGTGGGCTGTTAAAGGAAAGGTCAGCGTGGTACAATCTCCCCTCATCCCACCATGCCCTGACTGACCAATGCTGAGGGCAGCACTGGGATCCGGCCTCAAGAGCGGGTCCCTGTGTGGGTTCTCCACACCGCGGGGAGAGGTACATGAGCATCCATCATGGGCAGTACACTTGACCTCCTTGTAAAGGAGCCGAAGGAAGAGGACAAACCCATGGAGCAGCCTCTGAGAGAGAGCCCTGTAATGCCTTCCAAAAAGACACCAGTGCTGAGCTGGGCTGGGTGGCTCCCCAGCTGCTGTGAGACCCCTTACAAAGCTGTAAAAGAAAAGCTGAGTTAATGATGTTTGTTGGTTTTTACTGTGGCAGAGGTCCCATGCTGGAGCCTTTTTTATTTTTTTTCCACGTGGATGCGCCCATGGAAATGGCTTTGGAATAAATCATTGAAACGGAGGGTGAGGAATGACCCAGAGCAGATGCTCCAGGTGTCTGATCTTTGGCTCCTGAAACTTGCTGCTGAGCATGGCCTGGGGCGATGGCGGCTGTGATGGTGATGGTCCTACCAGCGCCTGAGGAACTACAGCTCCGTAGGGCTGGCAAAATGGTGCAGACGGCTGTAAAGACCAGCATGAGGAGAAACAGTATAAACTGGAATGATTTTACTTTCGTCAAAGCTGTTTTTTCGTTAGCTTGGGGTTGGGTTTTTTTGCCCCTAGCCAGCCGGCCAATCAGCCTGCAGTAACAGGGCCACACAGCCAATTAGCATCCAACGATGTGGCCAACCAGCCAATCACCCCTGTGGCACTGTAGCTTCCCAGCCAAGTAGCCATGGGGCATTGTAACCTGCCAGCCAATCAGCTGTGCCGCGAGTGCCCATCAGAAGCGGTGCAGAGCTTCTCCCAGCTGGGCCGGCAACCAGTGCCCGTGTCTCCTGCCTTCGTCAGAGACGGGCTCCACCGCTCCCTTGCTCCGCCGTTAATTACACCCCATCCCTGAGCTTTTGTAGCTTCTCTCTGGGTCTGAATTTTTCCAGCTTTCAGCCTCTTCTGCGCTGTTTTTTCAGCTCGCAGGCTCTGTATGTGATCTTCCCTCCATTACAGGTCTTTTTCTTTTTTTTTTTTTTTCCGGAAAAAGTGAAGTTGGTTCAGCGCGTTGTTTCCCGCCAGTTTAATTTCCCCCTCCTCCCCTTGAAGACCATTCCCCACCCAGACTTATTTACATTTTAATTACCGTTTGCAAAGTGCGTTAAAGGCAGAGGGTAAAAGGCTGAGTTATGGTGGGATCTACCGTGGGTTCTCTGCCCAGGGAGGGGAGCGGGACACCGGGTGACGGAGGTTGGAGGGACGAGCCCCAG